CTGTAATGCAGGAAATTCCCACCTAACCTCGGTCAGGTGGAGAGATGGTGGTTACAGGGGAATTAGGAAGGGGAAGATAAGGGCAGATGTTAAACACCCGAAGGAAATTGGTAGATACTGAGGTATCACTCTGATCCGGACAAAGCACTGACGCCCTGTCTGGATCACATCCCTTAGGTCTTTTACCTACCTTCCTTTGACCCGCGATTATTCCTACCCCTACCCGCGGGCGGGGGAGGAGCGCGAGCCGCGACACTAGCCTTCTGTGCCCATCTCTGATCCTCAAACGAGACGGGCCAGGACCCCTTGGGTTGTTCGGGCTCAGACCTGGAGTTTCGTAAAGGCCGCTGAGCACGCCTTTGCCCGCACTCAGCTACCTCATTAGGAGAAAGGCCCTCACCTTTATCCAGGTCTTTCAGCAGGCCAGCCTGATATGCTTGGGGCATCACCATCGTGTGCAACCAGCGACCTGCTGCTGCTGCTGCGTATACACTGGCATTAGAGCGAGATGTCAAGGAGGGAGTCTTAAAAGAGGACGTCTCATCCATAGAGAGATAGCTGGCCAGCGTCTCTCTATAGGGGCATCTTCTCATAACCGCTTTCTTGCATCGCCTCGATGTTGGCATAACTCGTATGCTGGAATCGATGGATGCGTGAGGAAAAACGGCCTCTTCCATTCCTTCTCAATCTCTGTATGGAAAACAGGAAGAAAGGAAGGCTCACCTGAGCTGGAGGGTTATGGCCATAAAAATAACGTTCATCATTTTTTTTTTTTAATAGATGACCTCACGATGTCATTTTCTTCACCCGCTTCCCGGTAAGTAAAGCCTCACCGTAGCGTGATCCATAACTTTCAAAAGCTCATCATACGCAGGGCAGGAGGATTGAGAAAGCTCAGCCTCAGCTTTTTGCCCTCCTCAGACATTTTCCTGCTTTCCAGCAGAGTACTGGCCCCTGGATCAGACAATGTTAATGAAATAACATAATCTTCCGCGGCTCACTCTCGTCCACAGCCGACGATTACGAGAGGGAAAACCCCTCTTCAAACTCATCGGCCAGATCCACCTGCAATCCCCACGAGCTCATTCTCCTCCATGCCTCAGTAATGGCGGATCCTGAATCGCGGGAAGCAGATGGCTGCTCCTCTTTCCTCAAAAAGAGAGACAAACGAGAGCGGCGCTTTTTCCTTGAAAAAATGCTTGCGGTGCACGCCGATTGCCCCCTCGGAGACATCGCGTGCGTGCTCTTTGCCCAAACAAATAACGCATAGATCGTATATGTCATCAGATGTTAAACAACGACAACATGGATGCACACATCCTCTAAACGCTTTACTAGTGCTCGCCATAATGATATGAATAGAGATCGCTCTTACCACAGAAATGCATGCTTCAAACAAAACAGTCAATGAAGATGAAGAAGAGAATGATGTGTAGCTTCCGGAGCCTATTTATACTATAGTCGCACCGGTAGTGACGTCATGGCTGTCGCCGGCCAACGAGTTGGTGTTTTTTCAATGTATGCTTCAGACACGGGCCACGACGAGGCGTTCCCCCCCATAGCGACCCCTAGAGGACACAGTTCGAAGTTCCCATGAAAGGGAACTGCCTTCTTAATCTGTCTCTCTTCCAACCAATGTAAAGCTATGACAATAGCAATCAACTCTGTTGTAAATACAGATAAGTAGTCTTGTGTTCTTTTTGTAATAATTACTTCTTGTTGTGGTGGCTATTGTCAGGGGCGTCATGCACTTATTTTTTTTAAGGGTCACAGTGTGCCAACACACCGAAATGTGCACACATACAGATAGAAGGAATGTAATAGAAGAATCTCTTAATAGTAATTAAATCATCATGTAGCCTATACCTGGGGAAATCTTTTATTTTTATTATTATCAGACGATCCTGAACAAATAAAAGACAATCTGGTCAGATGCGCCTTTTTGGTTGTTTGCCAACCGCCATAAAAAGCCAGAAGAAGAAGAAGAACCCCTTTGGCTGTTCTGAATGCCAACGGTAGATCTCCAGTTGCATTTTAAAATAAATGAAAAGGAAAGGTGTATGTCTAAAGAAATAGTAGTGGATCAATATTTGAAACAAAACAGTTTTAATAGTATTCAAATATACAGTATATGGATGGGTCAAAAAAAAATCCAGATTCGGGGTATACAGCAGCAGCCATATATATTCCCTATTTTAAATATAGCACTGTTAAGAGGTTATCTAACAATGTATCTGTATTCACCACAGACATGATGGCAATTCAAACGGCTTTGCTGTGGGTGGAAGAAATTAATCATATAAGTGTAGTAGTTTGTTCAGATTCATATTCAGTATTAAACAGTTTAAATAGTTGGAAATCAGCATCTAGACAGGATAAACTTTATGAAATTTTACAGAATTTATATAGAATAAATCAAACAGGAGTAAGAGTAGAGTTTTTATGGATACCTGCCCATGTAGGTGTAGAAGGAAATGAGGAGGTGGATAAGCTGCCAAGTCAGCATTGAGAAAAGAAGAGATTGACAGAGAAATTCCTTTAAGTAAAACAGAAGTAAAAGGTATTATTAAAACAGCAGTTGGAAGTATGTGGCAAGATGTATGGAATAAAGAGTCAGAAGGGAAACACTTATTTAGCATTCAACAGAAAGTGGGGATTGAAAGAAAGGTATATGGAAACAGAAGAGAAGATACTGTTATAACCAAGATCCGTATAGAACACTCTAACCTTAATTATTCATTGCATATAATAGGAAAAAGTGGGTCAGATAGCTGCAGTTACAGTGGAATAACAGAAACAGTTGAACATGTGCTTTTACATTGTGAGGCATATAATAGACAATTAAAGCAGCTTGTTGAAAAACTATGAGAGATATGGAAATCAATGACATTTCAGTTATGAATATATTTCAGAATGCACAGAGACATCTAAGGGTTTATGATTTTCTTCTAAAATATCTGAGAGATACAGATTTGATTAGAAGAATTTATGTTTTTTTTATTATAAATTTTTGTTATTTTATTTATTTGTTTTTTTTATTTATTTATTTTTATTATTATATTAGTAGTATATAATATTTTCGTTCATCGAGACCTCACGCTCCAGCTCAGTAGGTGGCGGAAATGCACCTTAAGCTGGTTTGCCAACCGCCATTAAACACAAAAGAAGAAGAAGAAGAAGACGAGACGACTGGAGTCTTCTGAGGAGAGGGGAACATTACACGGTATTTCTCATATTTACACTACCATCAAACACTTTAAGCAACATATAGTTTTCATCGGGTTCAGCGCTGTTTGTGCGTTTGCTGACTTAAACGCTCAGAACAGCAGGCAACAAGCATGTGAGGAAAACATGTTCAGTTCATGAAGACCTGGGCCCGTATTCACAAAACATTTGATCTTACCACCAAGAGTTCTCCTAAATAGCAGTGAAAGTTTTTAGCTAAGAGTTTTCTCTTAAACCCTGTTCACAGAGCTGCTGAGACAAACTTTTACTAAGGAATAGAGAGAAGTCTTAAGCTAAGAGTAAGGGCGGGGTTGACCTCGTTGTTATGGCTGATGTTAGCGTGCTTACTAACTGCAGACAGTGATTGGCTGATAGTCTGTCAGAGGTTTAAGCTGCGCTCACGCCATATCGTAATCGAGATGACAGCACGTGACGTTCTCGGAATTCTGCTTTTCTATGGCAACACTATCAGCGCCTAGGATGGGGAGTGCATACTCTTCTGGTCACGTATTGGCCGGAGAGAATCGGCACTGAACTTGCGACACAACCACTAAAGAACCGCTAGATTTACATCAGCACAGCCAGCGAAGGATCGAACACAGGGACGTTTCTAGGCATAGGCGAGCTAGGCGGTACTGGCACTTTTAGCAGGGTTGTGATAAAGAGTGGCACGGTCACCCTGAAATATGACAGCCGCCCCCACTGGATCCCCCAACATTATTGGGCTAGAGTACTGTCCATCTGACGATGCCTGTATGCCACTGGATCAGAGTGCTGTCAGTTGCTGCCTGATTGTTGCATGCGAAGTTTGCATTTGGAGCGCTCAACAACGCAACAACGCCCGTGGGCTCTGTCAGTGCTTTGGCAAGGTAACACTTTTTTTTTTGCCATGCAATAAAGCTAAGTTCAAAGGCCAATTTAAAATCAAATTGGCTAGAAACGGCCGTGATCGAACGCAACTGTTTTTAACGAGCGCAACTTTTTTTTAACAACCAAAAAATGTCTGTTTCGTTGTCTGTTGAGGAAGTTCAGACGTTCTTCTCATTGATAGCAGAGGAGCGGATCCAGCGAGAGCTTGATGGGGCGACACGGAATGAAAAAGTTTTTCAGGAGTCACAGCAGTAGAGGCGGCGCAACTATAACGACATGTGAATAATCCCACCCACTCTAAAGCGGTACTGAACTGCAGTGGAAATGCAAACCGAGCCGCGCAGAGTCGTGCCACGCAGTGGAAAAGCACCATAAGTTGCCGTAGCGTGGCCTATTTATTTAAAAGGGTACTTTTCCTTACTTTACCCCCATTGATAAAAAGCTGTTAACTGCAAAAAAACTGTCTTTAGGCCTACTTATTTGCATTTATGGTGTAATTAATACATTTCCATGCTCATTTTACAATCATGTTAGTTTTTACCGTTAGCAATGCGCTGTCACTTCAGCGTGTGCAGCACAACAAAAATAGACAAAACAAGAATAAAAAAATGAATACATTTACAGTCGTATGTATTTTTACATGTATTGTATTTATTTTTAATATCAGTGCTGTTTAAGCCAATATATCACCATCCCCTGACCATTATAATGTGACAAATTCATTAAAGAATACCTTCTTTAATTCTGACATAGCCTAATAGCATGTTGATTTCAGACGATGCCGCGATTATAAATGAGAGTGACTCCTGGTTAACATGTATTAAAAGGGGTCGTTTATATTTAGTGTGGTATTTTTTGATAATATTCACTCATCATGACAGTAAAATAGGGCATTCTAAGTCAATATACTGCAGTATTTCCTCTCTCAATCAGTAGAAAATATGGTTAACACCCGGTCATGCATGAAAATTTTTTTTTTTACGTGAAACCGGTATAATTTAGAAAAATACCGTGATATAAATTTTTGGTCATACCTCCCAGCACTACTAATAATCTTTTTCCCTCTGTAAAATTAGGTGTCGGCAACAGCTAACAACGTTGATCATTGATAGCTCATTTAAAGGTAATGTCACTCACCACCAATAAATTGGACGAATTTGGACAGTCACGCTAAATGGAGTCGAGGAGTCGATTCCATCGACTCCAATATTGGGAGTCGGAGTCGACTCTGAAAAACCTGGAATCGAACACCCCTTTCAACACCTAAACAGAGCCTGCGGTGGTCAGGTGGTACAGCGGTCACGTGGTACAAGTCGTAGCTCTCAGAAAACTCCCAGTTCACGAGTTGTAATTACGAGTTCTACGAGGACGTGAACGCTTTTTACAAGATGGAATCTCATAATTACAGGAATTCCGATATGGCGTGAACGCACCTTTGTTCATAGAAATATTGTAGAGTGCAATATTATGTTGCCATATTCAAATAAAGGTTTAAAAATAAAAAAAATGTAGTTGCCGCATTCAAATAAAAGTTTTAAATGTAGGATAAGTGTCACTAATTAAACAAGTATATGTTCAGCTTATTGTCAGCCTCTTACACGTATGCTTCTCATAATTAGTGAATATGCATATAAACAGCCTTTTAATTATCAGAGTAGAATAATCATAGCTGATAGTAATACATGCAAATGTAAAAAAAAACAAAAAACAAGCTGGACGCAAGAACAGCTGTTACATCTTGCCCAACTGGTTAATGAAAACAAGGATATAATCAAAGGAAAATTTGGAGTTGGGATAACCTTCAAAAGTTGTAATTACGAGTTCTACGAGGACGTGAACGCTTTTTACAAGATGGAATCTCATAATTACAGGAATTCCGATATGGCGTGAACGCACCTTTGTTCATAGAAATATTGTAGAGTGCAATATTATGTTGCCATATTCAAATAAAGGTTTAAAAATAAAAAAAATGTAGTTGCCGCATTCAAATAAAAGTTTTAAATGTAGGATAAGTGTCACTAATTAAACAAGTATATGTTCAGCTTATTGTCAGCCTCTTACACGTATGCTTCTCATAATTAGTGAATATGCATATAAACAGCCTTTTAATTATCAGAGTAGAATAATCATAGCTGATAGTAATACATGCAAATGTAAAAAAAAACAAAAAACAAGCTGGACGCAAGAACAGCTGTTACATCTTGCCCAACTGGTTAATGAAAACAAGGATATAATCAAAGGAAAATTTGGAGTTGGGATAACCTTCAAAACCAAAGGCGATACCTTTTTAAAAGGTCATTATCATCAAATGTTTATAAAATGTTTATGTTCTGAGGCAGACTGCTGGCAACAGACATTTTAGGATAGTTTGTGGCTTGATCTTAGTGACTTAGGAGTCCTCTTCACTACTCCTAACGTTTCACAGATTTAGGAGCTCGTTTTAGTGCTAAAACACTTTGTGAAATACTCTATAGGAGTCCTAAATTTAGGATTGACACACCCATTATTTTTAAGATTTTTTTTTAAATCGGCGAGTTATGAGCTACTTTTAGCCTTAAGATGTTTTGTGAGTATGGGCCCTGAGCGCTGTTGTTTTTGTGTGTGTCGATGTTTGCACTGATGATGTTGCTGTTACTGAGTGTCTCGTGGAATGAATGCGAACCGATATCAAGTGTTGCTGCTGCGATTTGATTTATAACCTTATTTCTCTCACGTTTATCTTTGGGGGATCAAATGTGTTATAGTTACTATGTGTGGTTAAAATTAATAACAGATACTGCTAAATACTTCATAATGAGCCACGTGAACATTTTAAATCTAGACTAGGGCTGCACGATAAATCCCATGCGATATTTAACGCGCATCTTGTCAGAAAGCCGGTTCTGTAATCAGCGGTAAATCTCCATCACCTGCAGGCTTTCACATTGAGCAGCATTAACTACACAGAGCCGTTGTTCACTGACGAGCTGCGCAAACCCACATTCATATTCGCGTGATTTTTTGCGCAGCTCGTCAGTGAACAACGGCTCTGTGTAGTTAATGCTGCTCAATGTGAAAGCCTGCAGGTGATGGAGATTTACCGCTGATTACAGAACCGGCTTTCTGACAAGATGCGCGTTAAATATCGCATGGGATTTATCGTGCAGCCCTAATCTAGACATAATATGAATTATAACACGGGAAACATTAAAATGTTTTGTGGTACTCTTTCTGTTCAATGAAGATTTTATGATCAGTTTCTGCACACATAAAACTATAATATGTTAATAATTGAATTACTTCATTGCTACGAATGTATTTATTAAAATAATGAAGATGAGTGCCATCAAATTTACAAAACTATCACTGTTATATGGGAGAGTTTATATTCTTTTCTATATTTCTATGCAGATATATTCTTATTAATACGAGGGCATAATAAAAATATTGATAGAAATGTTCGCAAAAGTGCATAGAATGTGTGAATTGTGTGCATGTTACTGAATGAGCATTTTAAATTGATGTGCTCTTTGTGTCAATGCTGTTACTTTTACTATAGTAATATATGATTTACAAAGAGACAACACTTAGAAATTGGAGGGCATCTGCTTCGCTTACATAAATGCATAAATGTTTAGATTAATTAAAAACACACAAACTCAGTAACTGATTTTTTGTTGATTTAGGCAGATCTGCTGCTTCCGCACAGAAATGCATGGTCAGTGAAGCTCCTCCCACAACAATCACATGGTCAGTGATTTCACCAATAAATGCTGGAATTTTCCCATCAGTTTACAAGTGCAGACAAGCATCACACCATCAGGAAGAAATGGAATTTACAAAGACTGAGTTTATTAAAGAGGAAAGTGAGAACATGAGTGATCCAGAACCCTGCAGAATGAAACGCACTGAAGAACAGCGAGGTTGGTGTTTATTCTTGATTCTTCATTCATTCATGATGCTGAAGGACATTAATGTTATAAAGCTTCAAGCAGTTTTTCAGATTTAGATAAATATTT